CAGTGAGCTATGATCACACCATTGCACTGCAGTCTGGGGGACTGAGTGAGATCCTGTCTCTAAAACCAAAACAAATTTGAGGCTGGGCGCGGTAGCTCATGCCTGTAATCCCAGCACTTTGGGAGGCCGAGGCGGGTAGATCAATTGAGGTCAGGAGTTCAAGACCAGCCTGACCAAAATGGTGAAACCCCATATCTACTAAAAATACAAAAATTAGCCAGGCATGGTGGTGCATGCTCATAGTCCCAGCTACTTGAGAGGCTGAGGCAGGAGAATGGCTTGAACCTACGAAGCAGAGGTTGCAGTGAGCCAAGATTGGGCACTACAGCCTGGGTGACAGAGCAAGACTCCGTCTCAAAAAAAGAAAAAAAAATTGAAAATATTGTAAGTAGAAATGTGTCAGGTTATAACCCAATAAGCCCATCATGAAGTTGAAAAATTGTAAATTGAACCATTGTAATTCAGATGCTTCTTGATTTAAGATGGGATTACATCCTGATAAACCCATCATAAAGCCAAAACATCTTAAATTAAACCATCCTAAGTCAGGGACAGTCTGTAGGTAGTCCAGAATTCAAGTGAATTAGTGGATACCCAGCTGGCATCTACTGTAGAATTGGCTGCTTACCTGATGTGTGTGGTAAAACCCCACCCATCTGGTATCAGAATTGTGTTGTGAGAGTGTGGCAGGAGAAACTGAGTCTGTTTATTCCTGTATACACACAGGGCTTCGTGCTGTGTCACTCCATCGCTGGGGGTACAGGTTCTGGCCTGGGCTCCTACCTCCTGGAGCGACTGAATGACAGGCAAGCCTGTGTTCGGGGAGAGGGCATTAACCCTGGTTCCCTGGATAATGTCATTGCTTTTTTTCTCTTGAGCTAGAAAGTCTGCCACTACCCCTTTTGAGTCATAGGGACAGACCCACCCAAGGACCATGTTGGAAGCTGTTTTGGGGGGTGGGGGCTTACCTGTGGAGGGGAGGGGATCTACAGAGTTTGAAGCTTTCAGGTTTATCCTTTTTGGCTTTGAAGACTCAGTTCTGCCCTCACCCCTTTTGTACAAAATGGCACAGATGGGCAGTGATGGGGGGTCCTTCCAGTTCACTATGCCACCACCCTCTTTTCTCTCAGGTACCCCAAGAAGCTGGTGCAGACTTATTCAGTGTTTCCCTACCAGGACGAGATGAGTGACGTGGTGGTTCAGCCGTACAATTCACTCCTGACACTCAAGAGGCTGACGCAGAACGCAGACTGTGTGGTGAGCAAAGAAAGAGTTGAGGGGCTGGGTGTGGTGGCTCATGCCTGTAATTCTAGCACTTTGGGAGGCCGAGGCAGATGGATTGCTTGAGCTCAGGAGTTTAATACTAGCCTGGGCAACATGTGAAACCCTAGCTCCACAGAAAATACAAAAATTAGGGCTGGGCGCGGTGGCTCACACCTGTAATCCCAGCACTTTGGGAGACTGAGGTGGGCAGATCACCTATGGTTGGAAGTTCGAGATCAGCCTGACCAACATGAAGAAACCCCGTCTCTACTAAAAAAGTTAGCCAGGCATGGTGGCATATGCCTGTAGTCCCAGCTATCTAGTCAGTGAGACTCTGCCTCAAAAAATAACATAAAAAAAAAATTAGCCGGGCATGGTGGTGTGCGCCTATAGTCCTGGCTACTCGGGAGGCTGAGGTTGGGGGATTTCTCAGAAAGTCAAGGCTGCAGTGAGCCACGATCACACCACTGCACTCAAGCTTGGGGCAACAGAACAAGACCTTGTGTTTAAAAAAAAAAAAGAAAAAAAAAGAGTAAAGGACTTTGGTCTGTCTCCTCAGGCCAGTGAGTCTCATTCACCCCGCCCTTCCCCAGCCCCTATACACACAGAACAGAGGACCAACAAAGCCATACCTGTGGGCCAAATTAGGAAATAAGGTCCTGACCTCTAAGTTTCTTAGAATCCTTTTAGGCAGCAAAACTCTCAACGAAGTGAATATACCTTCCCCCCACCACCATGTACCCCACCTTTGCCTACTTCATGCCCACTCATGCTTGTACTCTCAGCTCAAGGAAAACTTTCTTAGCAAAACCTTTCCTGACTACTCAGTCAAGATCAGATTACTTTGTATTTCAGGGAGTTAACTATACTTTTTTGTTTTATATTTAGTGTGCCTCCCTCCACGAGACTGTAGGCCTAATGAAGGGAAAGATGGTGCCTGTTCCTCTCTGTGGTCTCCCCAGAGCCAAGCACAGTGTATGGCACATGTGGGTACTCACGGGTTTGTTTACTGCCCTGCGTAGTCTGAGAGTATCTCATGATGCCCCAGAAACAGTACTTTTCTTTCTGTTATTTTTTATGTATATTTTTTACAGAGATGGCATCTTGCTGTGTTGCTTAGGCTGGTGTCCAACTCGCGGCCTCAAGTGATCCTCCCACATTGGCCTCCCAAACGGCAGGGATTATAGGCATGAGCCACCACGTCCAGCAGTACTTTTTTTTAAACTAACAAACCTACTTCCTGGCTTTGGAGTTCAGCAGGGGCTAAGCCAATATCTTATTTCTATGCCCATTTTATCCTCAAGATGCTGTGACCCTCTTCTGTCCCCGTAGGTGGTGCTGGACAACACAGCCCTGAACCGGATTGCCACAGACCGCCTGCACATCCAGAACCCGTCCTTCTCCCAGATCAACCAGCTGGTGGGCCCCCACTCCTGGCCTCCTTTGGACTGGAAGCCCTCCTTGCTGGAGGGTCATCTGGGGAAGGAAAGTCCCACCCAGGCCGAGGCCCATGACATGGCACGCCTGTCCCCAGGTGTCCACCATCATGTCGGCCAGCACCACCACCCTGCGCTACCCCGGCTACATGAACAATGACCTCATCGGCCTCATCGCCTCGCTCATTCCCACCCCACGGCTCCACTTCCTCATGACCGGCTACACCCCGCTCACTACGGACCAATCAGTAAGAGCAGCCTTCAGTGTCCCAGGCCAGGCCGGCCCTGGGCCCAGCAGGCCCTGCCCTAGCCTTTCTGTCTTCCCCACTGCCCCAGGAGCTGCCCTTTGCGGGCCCCGAGGCACTGTGCTCAGGGGCTAGCACAGAGCAGGAGACTTTCTTGCTGACTTGCTCTCTACCCTCCCTCTGCCTTTGGCTTCTGCCAAGGAGAAGCCAAAGGGGGACTCTGCCCTGAGCGCTGGCCGGGTTCCTGTCTCACTGTCCCATCAGGTGGCCAGCGTGAGGAAGACCACGGTCCTGGATGTGATGAGGCGGCTGCTGCAGCCCAAGAACGTGATGGTGTCCACAGGCCGAGACCGCCAGACCAACCACTGCTACATCGCCATCCTCAACATCATCCAGGGAGAGGTGGACCCCACCCAGGTAGGGGAGGCCCCTTCATCCCGCACCCTGGACCCGCAGGGGTAGAGGAGAGGCCACCTCCACTGCTCGTGTGCCCACCCCAGGTCCACAAGAGCCTGCAGAGGATTCGGGAACGGAAGTTGGCCAACTTCATCCCGTGGGGCCCCGCCAGCATCCAAGTGGCCCTATCGAGGAAGTCTCCCTACCTGCCCTCGGCCCACCGGGTCAGTGGGCTCATGATGGCCAACCACACCAGCATCTCCTCAGTGAGTCTAGGTTTCTGTTCTTCTCAGGAGAGTCTGTTCCACTGGCTACCTTCATCATCTTCCCCAAGTTCACTCCTAACCCCCTGGCTCGCATTTTGGAGATTTTCATCTCTTTCAGCTCTTTGAAAGTTCCTGCCAGCAGTTCGACAAGCTGCGGAAGCGGGATGCCTTCCTTGAGCAGTTCCGTAAGGAGGACATGTTCAAGGACAACTTTGATGAGATGGACAGGTCTAGGGAGGTTGTTCAGGAGCTCATTGATGAGTACCATGCAGCCACCCAGCCAGACTACATTTCCTGGGGCACCCAGGAGCAGTGATTTCCCTCCCCACTACTCCTGGATGGGAAGCACAGCCTCGACCATGCCTGCTCATGGACAACCTTCTTGGTTCATCTCCAGCCCATGAGCTTCCTCCTGCTTCCTCCCTTCCATGCCCTAACTCTTGATATGCTTGTTCAGCTTTAATAAAGTAATAAAGCTTGGTTGTCAGTATAGCCAGGGCTTGATCTGTGAATACAGGGGGTGGTGAAGGGGTCCAGTTTCTAGGCCTCTGACAGTAGGGTGGCTTTCACCTCCTCCAACGTCTTACCACTAAGTCCAAATCTTAGTGTGTTCACTGTTTCCACTGGCATCCCTCACCTTGAACTAAGCTGTTTTACTAGAGTCAGCCCTTGTCTCAAGATTACAGAGCTTTACTGAGGTTTGCTGTCTCCTCAGTGCCTAAGGTTTGCCCCATTGAGGGTCAATGTTGCCCCAACCTCTTCCACTCAAGGCAGAGGAGGTGGGGTCTACCGAAGGAGGGCACGCTACATTATGAGCAGGCCAGAAGAGCCGAGACTCCAGATTCCCAGTGCCCAGGGCCATGAGAGTTCCAGGAACTCAATCCAGTTCAACCTAACCTGATTAGTAGAAACAGAATTCAAGAGTAGGGCTGAGCACATCCTGAGTTACTTTTCTGTGCCAGAGAAATTCATGGGTTTGTTATCTGCCCCAAGCTTCTCTCCATTCTAGGCCCAAAGCATTAGGCACACCAATGATGGGCCCAGAACTGGACACCAGTGTAAGAAATGGGCAGTGCCAGATCTGATGACTCATTGCCCTCCAGCCTCAGGGATTCCAGGAGGCCATCCGTATGCCACTCAATGAAGAAGGGAGGGTGAGTAACTGCCAGCTTCCAATGAGGCCTGTTTGCCTGCTCCACCCACAAGCCTGTGGCAGCATAATGGCCAGGAGGAGGTTAAGTCTGGAAGGTCAAGGAGGGGGCGGGTGAAGCGCTGTGGTGTCCAGACTTCCCCCAGAGCCTGGTAAAAGCCCAGGGTGTGGGCGTCCCCAGAGGCGGGGCTCTGCATTATGGGGTTCTAACTTGCCCCACTGAATAACACTCCCACAGGAAGGGTTTGTGTAAATAAGAAACTTTTTTTTTTTTTTTTTGCTTCTCTTCTACAAATAAATTAAGAAACAAACTAGAAAATTGCCCACACCCATTGTAGCCCTTGGGTGTGGGATGTGCCCTGTCCCTGCAGGGCCAAAAGGGTCCATGTTTCCCTCAAATCTCGGAGCAGTCCTGGCCCAGGCTGGAGGCAGGAGGGAAGTCGTGACCTCTTGGCAGGCTCAGTCCTGCAGCTGCCCCAAGCAGCCAGACTGTCCCTGGGGCTCGTCCAGGCCCGGGTGCTGGCTGGGAGGGGAGGTGTCTGGCAGGTCTTGGCATGGACAAGAAGAGCTGCTGCAGGGCCTCTCGGGGGAGGGGTTGGCCAAGTAGGCATTCACCAGCTGCATGATCTCTTCCACCTAAGAGAGGGCAGAGGTCAGTGTGCAACAGGCGCTGCCAGGTTCTCTTCTTTTTCTCATCCTTTCTCCAGGCTCTAGGGCTCCAGTTTCCCCACCACGGTCCTACGTGCTATGGCTCTGCAACCTTTTCTTCCTTATCATCACTGTCTCCTTCATTTCTATGTGCAGTCATACTTGGTTCTTTCTGCTCTTCTAACATTCTTTTTTTTTTTTTTTTTTGGTGGTGGTGGTGTTGAGATGGAGTCTTGCTCTGTTGCCAGGCTGGAGTGCCTCGGCTCACTGCAACCTCTGCCTCCCAGGTTCAATCAATTCTTCTACCTCAGCCTCCCGAGTAGCTGGGACTACAGGTGTGCGCCACCACCCGCAGCTAATTTTTGTATTTTTAGTAGAGACAGGGTTTCACCATGTTGGTCAGGATGGTCTTGACCTCCTGACCTCGTCATCCGCCTGCCCCGGCCTTCCAAAGTGCTGGGATTACAGGCACAAGCCACTGCACCTGGCCGCCTTGCAATTCTTTCCACCTGGAATGCTGTTCCCACAGGTCTTCCCTGGCTAGCTTAAATGGCACCGTTTTTGAGAACCCTTCTCTGACTTCCTGTCACATCATTCTTTCCTTTGTAGCATTTCTCACTGTCTTCATAGCCTGGGATTCCTTGTTTATTGTCTGACTCCCCCACTCTAGTGTAAGCTCCTTCAGCTTGTCTGTGATCACTGCTGGATCCCCAGTGCTTAGAACTCTACCTGGCCCATGCTTGGTGTTCTGAAAATGTTTCCTGACATCCCTTCCCTTCTCTCCTCCTCCCACAACTCCTCTTCCCACTCACCTGGGGGCTCTGCAGGAGGAGCTGGCTCTCTCCCACCCTCAAGGCCAGAGTGTGGGGGCCCATTAGCTGGCAGGCGGCCACATGGCCATAGCTGACACTGTGGATGGGCTCTGTCTCCCCCGGCCGGGAGAGAGACATGGCCTTGGCTCCCAAGCCCAGGCATAGCTTCTGTGGAGCACCCCCACCAGGCTCCTGCAGACACAGGGGCAGAGTCAGGGTGGAAGGAGGAGTCCAGCGTTATTTTTGGTAGGGGGAGATGGGTGTCTGTGAGCAGGAGTTTCCTGATGCCCCTATGATTCACAGCACGTGTGTGGAGGGGGCTAAGGCTCCAGGGATGTGAGGGCCCAAGGGCTGGTGACTCCTGGGGTTTGAGGTGGGCAGCTGTTCTGGATGTGGGGAATGACGTGACCCTCCGTGGGACCTGTGGCTCTGGGGCAAAGGTGTGGTGCTTGGGCCGCCAGAGTCCCCTTCTCCCTTCTCCCCCTCACCGTGCTCAGCTCCAGAACGTCATACCGAGCAGCGCCGAACCCCGGACACTGCGCCGCCAGGGCCAGGTAGGCGGCCATGGCCTCAGCTCGGCCCAT